GGAGGGCAGCACTTAAGACTGGGAAAAAGAGAAACTGAGAGAAGGTGGAATTGACTGAGTTCTCCTTCCTTGAAGCGGGGGGGGGGGGCAGAGGGGCTTTTGGAGAGCCACTGCTTGTCTGGGTAGACTGTACTGAACTAGAGGGACCAATGGTCTGACTCTGTAGAAGGCAGTATCATATGTTCTTGTTTAATCTAGCTCCCTTTTCAGAACCATGAAAACTGGGCTCATTCTTACTTCATTTTTAAAGGACTCTGTGATGGAGCACGTGCTTTGCACACAGGAACTCCCAGGTTCAAACCCCAGTAGCATCTTCAGGAAGGGCTGGGGGGAAAGACTCCCTGCCGAAACCCTGGAGAGACCCTGCCAGCCAGTGTAGACAGTACTGAGCTTGATGGGCCAAACTCCATATAAGGCAGTTTCTTATGGTTCCTGGACATTCATAATGTGTCTTGCATTCCTTCCTTGTCAGCCAAGAGGGAAACGACCTCCTTGGTGACCCAGGGAGAGTTTTTAGCGACTGTTTTCCTTTAATTCCGTTGGTCCATTTCATTATAGACTTTTGTCCCCAGGGGGCTGTGTGCTTCCTGAAACTTGCACCCTACAACCCAAGCCAAGACATCAAAAGTTATTTTGCTGTTGTTGACTTTTAAAATAAACGTTCTAGACCCCACCATCTTCCGCCCCCACTACAGCCCCAGACTTGGCCCTTAATCTGCACCGACCCTTGAAGGCAGGAAATGGTTCCATTGAGGTGTTATGGCTTGTGGCATGACTTGTTTATGCATAATCCCATTAGCAGCCCTGGGTTGTGGCCAAGGTGTGTGCATACATAAATGCAGAAAGGGGAGGGAGAGAAAGGGGGGGGCGAGGAGCCAGGAAATGGTGCAACCACGCCATTGCCATGGCAACGATCCCATCCATGTGCGTACATCTCGCCTTAATGAGGACACGGTGATTGGAGCCAGCTGCGAAGGCTTGGGTTCCGTTGCCTGCTTTCCCTGAGATTTTTGCCGCTGCAAATGACCACATGCTGTGTGCTGTGTGCAGTTCTGTTCACCCTCACCCCCAACAAGGATATTGCAGGGTTGGAAAAGGTTCAGAAACGGGCCACCAAAATGATCAAGGGGTTGAGCAACTCGTCTGTGAGGAAAGCTTGCAGCATTCAGGGATTTTCAGCTGACATAAAATGCGAGTAAGAGGTGACACGATATAAGTTTATGAAATAATGGCTGGAGTGGAGGAAGTGACCAGAGAGAGGGAAAAATTCTCCTTTTCTCATCACACGAGAACTCATGGACAGCCAAGGAAGCTGAATGTTGGGAGATTCAGGGCATAGTTAACTGCTTTAAAGCCACTTTGCTGGCTGTCAATGGCTCCTGTGGAATGCAACTGAAAGCAATGCATCTGAATCCCAGTAGCTGGAAGCCACAGGAGGGGAGAGCGCTGTTGTGCCCAGGTTCTTCTTCCTGGTTTCCCACTGGAGCCTCTGGTCAGCCACTGTGAGAACAGGATGCTGGACCTAGATGGGCTATTGGCCTGATCCAGCAGCCACGTCCTTAACGTTCTTAAACCCCACTCCATGGTCTCAATGGAGACAGGAGGTTTGGGTGGATGGGTTTGAGGAGAAACATCTACTGAGCCAGTGCTAAAATGGGATGCAGCATAATTATTCGTGCGACAGATTTTGCTACTCTCCTCACCACCACCCCCCAAAAAAAGCTTGGGGAAATTGACTCTCGTCTGTTTGCAGCACTGAATCAATTTATTTCTTTTTAAATCCTCACTTGCTTCTGGGCAGAGCCCATAAGCAGGACCTAATTGAGACAGCAACTCTCCCCACTTGTGATTCCCAGGAACTGGCATTCAGAGGCATATTGCCTCCAACAGTGGAGGGAGAACGTAAAGACATAAACTGAACCCTGCTGGGTGCATTTCTGAATGTATTTCCCTCAATGCAAACCTCCTGCCCATGGGCTAGTAGTGGCCTACAAGGCCATTTGCCTCAATCCATGTCCATCTGCCAATCAGAAGACATCACATGTAACATCATAAGGTGAGCCCTGCTGGATCAGGCCATTGTCCATCCAGCCCAGCATCCTTTTCCCACAGTGGCCAACCAGATGCACATTATGAGAAGCCCACAAGCAGAACCTGAGTGCACCAGAAACTCTTCCTACTTGTGATTCCTGGCTAACTGGGGTTCAGATGCATTCTGCCTCTGACAGTGGAGGGAGAACGTAGCCATTGCAGCTAATAGTCCTGAAAGTCTTGTCTTCTGTGATTTCATGTTTTCATTGTTGGGACTTAGTATGAGCATAGGAAAACAAGAAAAGCCAGCCAGGTGTGCCAAAGTAAAGCCCACAAACATGACCCAAGTGCAATAGCATCACTCTCCCCACTTGCAATTTCCAGCAACTGGAATTCAGATGCATTGCTTCTTCTGTCCATGCTCCCCCACTTCTGCCTTCTAGGCCAGGCATCCCCAAACCTGCGGCCCTCCAGATGTTTGGCTTACAACTCCCATGTTCCCTAGCTAACAGGACCAGTGGTCAGGGATGATGGGAATTGTAGTCCAAAACATCTGGAGGGGCAAAGGTTGAGGATGCCTGTTCTAGGCGATTGAAGATCATGCCAGGCCCCAGAGCATTTATTATCAGATTCCAAAAGCTTTGTGGACTACCTTACAAGTTGTAAGATAGTCTACAAAGCTTTTGGAATCTGATAATGAGTGACTGAAGGAGATTTGAAAGCTGACTCAGTTGAGGCAAGGTCTGAGCTGGTGACCTTCCTCTGGGGTGAAAAGGAAAGCCATTCATGTCTGAAAGTTGCGGTTTGGGAGTGGTGCCAGTAGAGGCTTTATTCTCGAACAGTCACTTGGGTGCGTCTTTTTTATTGTTATATAACCCTATTAAAACCAGCCTCATGTTGTTCAACTGTACCTACCTAAGGTAGATTGTGCTGGAATTTCCCCCTTGTTCATAGAGCTTGTTTAGCCTATACCCACCAAGTAGGCAGACATCTCTGGGTTGTGTCAGGGGAGAAATGGAATCTGCCCCCGCCCATCTAGGTAGGTGTCAAATCTCTCCCCTCCAACCCCCCCCCCCAACATCTGAATGTTTTGTAAAATGTGTGCTGAGTTTTGTGTCTGCTGTTGAAAACACAATTGTTATGAAGCCTAGATGGGCAAACATCTCTTCAAGATCGAGGTGGGAAAGGAGAGGGGCCAGTTTAGTCTCCAGCAAAAACTGGTGGCGCACAGCACCAATTGGCTGGGAATAGTGATGTTACTAACCACTATTCCCCTTTCCTGACCAAGGCTTGGGAATTTTCCAAACATTTTAAAAAGAAGTTTTCAGGCTTCTTATGTGGCCATAGCTCAGTGACAGAATAACTTCATTGTACCTGTGTTCAGTCCCCAGCATCTCCAGGTAAGGCTGGGAAAGACTTCTTACCTGGAACCCTTGAGAGCTACTGCCAGTCAATGTACATAATACTGAGCTAGATTTACCAATGGTCTAATTTAATTCAAGGCAGCCCCCCATGTTGACACAATGAGATGTTTCCTTCCCCACCCCCTACACTTTTTAAAAAGTGAGTGCAACCTTTTAAAAATGCTTGATAACTTTGCACTTCAGTTGTACACATTGTATACTTACTTCCACTAAAATAAGGATTCTGTACAATTTTCAGTGTCTCTCCCCCAAATTGTGCCCATGTTTGTACAAATAGACACGTAATCCAATTGATATCTGCATTCTAGACTTCAATGAAATCCATCAAACAGCTCTGTTTGCTTTGAAAAGAGAGGCAGTGTGGTGTAGTGGTTAAGAACGGTGGACTCGTAATCTGGTGAACTGGGTTCGCTTCCCCGCTCCTCCACATGCAGCTGCTGGGTGACCTTGGGCCAGTCACACTTCTCTGAAGTCTCTCAGCCCCGCTCACCTCACAGTGTTTGTTGTGGGGGAGGAAGGGAAGGAGAATGTTAGCCGCTTTGAGACTCCTTCAGGTAGTGATAAATCCTGCTGAATCAGGCCAATAGATGACCACCTAACCCAGCATCTTGTTCCCACATTGGCCAGCCAGGTGCCCCAGTGGGCAGCCCACAAGCAGGATTCAAGCACAAGAGCAACTCTGCCCTCCTATAGCTTACAGCAACTGGAATTCAGAAGCATGACTGCCTCTGACTATGGAGGCAGAGTATAGTAACTGTGGCTAGGAGCCAGTGACAGCCTTCATGAATTTGTCCGATACCCTCTTTTAAAGTCATTCAAGTTGGTGACTATCATAGCCTCCTGCAGGAACAAGTTCCATAGTTGAACTATCCACTGCATGAATAAGTCCCTTCTTTTATCTGTCATGGATCTTACAACATTCAGCTTCATGGGATCTCCACAAGTTCTGGTTACAAGAACTTTCTCCATGCCATGCCTAATTATATAAACTTAAGGTAAAGGTAAAGGGACCCCTGACCATTAGGTCCAGTCGTGACCAACTCTGTGGTTGCGGCGCTCATCTCGCTTTACTGCCCGAGGGAGCTGGCGTACAGCTTCTGGGTCATGTGGCCAGCATGACTAAGCCGCTTCTGGCAAACCAGAGCAGCACACGGAAACGCCGTTTACCTTCCCACCGGAGCGGTACCTATTTATCTACTTGTACTTTGACGTGCTTTCAAACTGCTAGGTTGACAGGAGCACGGACCGAGCAACAGGAGCTCACCCCGTCGTGGGGATTCGAACCGCTGACCTTTTGATTGGCAAGTCCTAGGCTCTGTGGTTTAACCCACAGCACCACAGCACCGTCCCATTATATAAACTTATTTCTCCTCTTATGCACCTTTTCTCTAAACTAAAAAGCCCCCAAATGCTGTGATCTTCCCACATAGGGGAATATCTCTATCCTCCACTCTGGATAATTTTGGTTGCCATTTTCTGAACCTTTCCTAATCTAAAATACCTAAATGATTATCTGGGTTCTTCCCCTCCTCTTTTTTTTTGCAGGGCTCATCTCAACGACATGGAGAACATTTACCCCTTTCTCTTCCTCGGTGCGATCTACTCCCTTCTGGACCCCAACCCAACTGTGGCCCGGATCCACTTCTTGATCTTCTTCTTTGGCCGGATTGTCCACACCTTGGCCTACCTTCTGAAACTCAGGGCTCCCACGCGCTCAGTGGCCTACAGCGTGGCCCAACTTCCCTGCGTCTCTATGGCCCTACAGATCCTCTTTGCAGCCATCAAGTCCTGGTGATTGCTTTGATCTGAGACTTGAAAGGGGTGAGAAACGAGATGGACAAGTGGCTTTCTTTGTGAGAGGTGGATAAAGCTCTTCCTTTTCCTTGCTGTGGTCTGGTGATGTGCATTTCAACCTCAACCACTGCATCTCTTTGCCAGGATGGACTCTCAGTCATGTCATCTTCAGACTGGACAGTTTGCTTGGCGATCTCTCCTAGGAGGGGAGGCACCTTTCTGTTGCTGATGGGCATGTGGTGCAGAGGTTCAGGTCCACAAAATGATAAATAAAAACACTTATTGCAGTAAAGAATATCTCACTAGTCCCAAGCTGTCTATTTCAACTCTGGGGGATTTCACTTAGAACAGAACTTGGTGGGCATGACTTCCAGGGGTGAGAGGTGGCCCTCCAGAGCTCTTTATCTGGCCCTCCAGATTGCGTGGAGTACTGTGGGAAGGAGGGAGAACCCCGCCCTGGTTTGCATCTCGGGCTGTGTCTCTAGTTCATTCTTGGAACATTGTTTGGGGAATTAGACACAGCAGAAGCTTGCTGGTAAGGAAGTTGTTCTGTGTTGAAGGGGAGATTAAAGGATAAGGAAACAGCCCCACCAAGGAGATACTGCAAGACTGAGCAGATGGAATGCAATGTGAACTAAATGCTTTCAGATTCAGCTGGGGGTGTAGATGAGGATCTGGCACACACAGGCTAACAGTATTAGTAGTCGTCATAATAATAATGCAAAAAGTGATTGCACTAAGCACAAACCAGTACATTTTTTAGAAAGTGAACAGTGTGAAGTCTTTCCTTTTCTCTGTCCCAAATGCCCTCTGCAAACAGAAAAACCAACCTTCAGAGTGGGGACCTGCAGCAAGAGTAACGCTATATGGGTAGATTTGACCAATCAGTTCTTAAGCCTCATTGCAAGGTCTTGAAAAGAGCTCTGCTGGTTCAGGTGAAAGGAATGGGAATCCTGCAAACAGGACTGGAGCGCAATAGGAACTCTCAATACTTGTGATTCGGAGCAACTGGCATTCAGAGGCATATTGCCCTCAGTGAATCAACCTTTCAGCCAGGGTCTGGTGCTCTTCAAATGTTTTGGGCTACAACTCCCATCAGTCTCAGTCAGCACAGCCATGTGATGCTGGGGCAGATGCATGCACAGCTGTGCAAACTAGGCGCTGGTGGAAGCAGTAGTCAAAAAAAGTTGGAAGGCAGCAAGTTGTCAGAGGCTGCCCTCTAGTGATACTTTGTGGTCATGTCAGGCAAAT